TGAACAAAGGTTCGCATGACATTAAAATCTTCTCAAAGCAATTTTTGCGTGCGCATACTAAGGTATCGGTAGCGCAGGTGCTGGAGTTTTTTTTTTCGACGAACCCAGGCGAGTCCGCGCCACTAAAAATTTTGAAGGTGGCCAGAATATAGATGCCGCAGTTGTAGCTGTCGGTCTGGACGCCGAGCGTGCTTGTGTACGGTTGGACACGGCCAGTGCGCGACTGCAAAGATGGAACCATTGACTTGATCACTTGTGTAGCAACACGAAGCCCCACCTTGTAGCTTGAATCCATCGGGTCGTAGTAGAATAGTATATGCTCTGTGAAGTCGACCATGATCGATCTCCAGTGGTTGCCGTTGCAGCTGACCGGGATCATCGCGCGCTCCATGGACGCACCTAAGAAGAGCGCTTCGAGACCGTCGCGATCCACCACGACGTCACTGCCTAGATTCACGCTTACCAAGTTTGCATTTCCTAGGATCCTCGTTGGATCTGAGCTGAAAAGTTTGGTCATCAACGTGGTCATGGTGTCTTCGCTCAAGCACCCGGTCGCGGCGAGATCTAGCACTTCCATCTGTAGAGCATTACAACATTAGAAACTTGTGGTTAGTGTTATATAGTCCAGCCAAGCTTACCTCCGAAGACAACAGCCGGAGCGATTCGATCTTGTCGGTCAGCGATGGATCCTCCTCTGCTTGGAAATGGGGACCAACGGCCAGAGTCAGGTTTACCGTTGGAATCCAGGCCAACGCCTTCTCCACCTGTCGAACAGCCGCAATTGCACGATGGTAGTGTTTCATGATGGCAAGCGTAGCCGTCGACAAAACCCCCAAACCTGGGATCTCCACAGTAATATCACGCTCCGCGAGGCCTTTCGTCTTCTTTTGGAGTGCCACGACCTTGGTTCCACATTTGTTGAGCATGGCCTTCGGGAGTACGCGGATTAGGTCGTGTGGTTCAATAATAGTCTTGGAGGCTGGTAATTTGCTCCTCCCCCGTGCTACAGGCGCCTTTGTCTTCTTTCCGAACACAAATAACTTGAATCTCTTAAGTGTTGGGGCGTCCGAACTGTAGGTCGGATTTCCAGCCACGATTTCAGCTACGGTAGCCAGGCTCAAGTTCATGCTGTGAAGCGTGGAGTCCTCATGGGCCGTCGCCACGGCCCGGCTCTGCTTTGCCTTTACAACAGAGGTCTTAGCCTTTGGACGTCCCCTTGATCTTGGCGGCGACTCGAAGTCGAAATCGTCGTTTTCAGCGTCACTCTGCAGCGCTTGAAGAATTTGAATTGGCGGGGAGGTCGTGGCAGCTAGTTCAGGATCCGTCTGCACTGGCCCAGCGACCATCTGGACGGGTTCTGTGGCTGAGTGCGATCCCATCGAGACGGGTTCTGTGCCCATCTGAACAGGTTCAGTGTCTGTATGCGTGTCTGGATGCACTGTTTGGATTCCCATCTGAACGGGATCTGTGCCCATTTGAACGGGCGACTCTATCGTAGACACAGGCTCCTGCTCTGCTTCTTCATTCATCACATTCGGTTCGTACTCCGCGTCGTTGTCTCCCTCCGGTTCCTGGAGACTTATTTCGTCTACGGGGTCACCCGCCTCCACTGTCGTCTGGGTGGCCTCAACGGTTGACTCCGGAGTGGTCTCTGACGAAGAATGCTCTTCTCCATGCACAACACCTGACATCTGACCGGCGCGACTACAGACTCCGTCGATATCGGCTTCTTCACCGTTCAACAAAAGCGGAATGGGACTTTCTGGAGAACCCGCGACAGTAGGAACAATTTGGTCAACTAGCGCCTCGCAATCACCGTGCTTAAACCGACGAGCAACTTCACGGAGCACGCTCAGAGCCGCTCGGTACTGGGGCATACCCATCTCGCTCATCGTCTCGCTGATTTTGGTCGCGACTTGCTGAGCTTCGCTGAACTTACGATTCGAGTCCCACGGCTTTTCCTTGTAGTGTACAATTTGGCCAACACCAGACGGAGCGCTTGGTAATTCGTCCACCGGCACCTCGGACCTTAGCGATGACAGCAGCCAACGTGACGGCAGGAGCTGTGTAGGGATCACAACCTCCATGTGCATCGCCTTTCGAATATAGAAAACGTGCCTGCAAGGAAGCCGCCTGGTCGACATGAACAAGCACGAGCATTCCCAATTTTTCTTGTTGACCGAATACTCTACGCTCGGTTCGTCCAGTGCTTCATCAACCTCCGTTTCGTTCTTGATAAAAATGATGCCAGAGACTGCCTCATAGAAATTGTAGTGAGCTGTACTGCCCATGACGTAAACGTACTGGTCGAAGATAAGTTCGCATGCGTGTCTGCTGACCAGGTTCGCGACTAGTGACATCTCTCTGTCATACTTGGGATTGTGCGCCATACCGACCTTGGTAGCTTTAGCATCGAATGCCCGCTCTACGCGAACCTGGTAGCAGATAAGGGAGGCTACACACTCGTCTAAACCCATGAAACTGTTCATCGTGTCCTTCAAGTGCTTCCACGACGATTCCAGCCGGTTATTGGTGTTGTTTCCCATCGTCACAGCGCTTTGACGCTCATAGGCGGCCCACATCTCCTTGCAGTTGTCCCAGTTCTTGTGGAAGTATGCCTCAAACGGATGAGTCTCGGCATCATCAGCTGGCCCATCTAGATGGTTTGAGATGGTTAAATTACCGTCGGTGCCCAGCTGAGCACCATCTGCACGGGGGGTAACTGCGGCCCGTGCAAAGCTGCCGCCCCTGTCCGCGCTGGTCTCGCGACGCGAAGACTCCATGCCAATTGAGAGTATGAGGCGCATGTATTCCCGATGCTTGAAGAATTCACGCTCCGTCGTCGCGTACACCATTAGCGAAATCACGCTCCGCAACTGAGCTTTCTGCCACGGCGACAGACCATACTCGGAGGACGCTAGCTGTTCACGGAGGTACTTGAGCACGTGGAACTGACATAGGAGAATGCGGACACCGGGGAACGCAGCCTTAATGACAGCCATCTCGGTGAAGTCCTTGTCGATGACCACGCACTGCAACTTGGTCCAGGAAGGTGTGTTCTTCTTAAACTCCTCGATGGCCGTCATAAGAGTCGCGGCGCGTTCGTTTTGTAGAACTGCGTGCTGAACAAACTGGCCCGTACCAAACGCGTCGTGCACCATAAAGGAAAAAATCTTGTACTTGGATGAATTTGTGCCGTGCGTCGCGTCGATTAGCATCACTTCAGAAAAGCGGTAAAACATCTCACGCATGCGCTTGGTCTGAAGAACAATACATGTTGCCACTTTCTAAACACAACCGAGAACAAGAGGTGCGTTAATTTAGACCACCATATTATTCACAGACGAACGCCATCATACCTTATCTCCGCGGTTATCCACGAAGATGCGTCCTATGTTACCGGGCTCCTCTCTGAACTCTGTCAGCCATGTCTTCATCCGCGCCTTGCTCGTCGTCTCTGCAGTTTCTCTCTCTTTCAGCTTGCGGACGAGATTATGCACGTCACGAATCTCCACACTGTTGTCCGCATTCTCGAGGATGTACTCGAGGATCCGTTTCTGTTTAGCCCCTGCCTTGCGAAGAATGTCAACCGTATCCACCACACGAGTTGGAAGAGCAGTGCGCACGGACGCGTACTGCTGATGGGTCATCCGGTCGAGCCTGTGGTTGTGCGCTAGCTTTGCAGCTGTCACGCACAGGGCAAATTCGGGGTCGTTGGGCTTGTTGTTAATCACACGGACGCATGCGTTGATCTGGCATACATACAGATGTATTAGTCGATTCCGGGCACGCGTTACCCATCTGTGCCAATCAACACCCAAATGAAACCCATCGGAGCCCATCTGAGTCCATCTAGCCACTTACCTGCGCTCCGCACTTCGTTGCGCGTGACTCCTGTCGCGCACGTTTGCCCTTGCCCCGAGACTTGAACGTGCCAGCGTGCGTGCAAACCAGCGTCTTGTTATACATACCCCACTCTAGCGGGATCAGAAGCGCTCGTGAGTTCGCCTTCTTTATCTTCTTGTTGCGCTCCTCGACCTTGTTGTTCGTCCGGACGCGAAAACTCTAACATACTCAACGTTAATACTCACCATTTTTATTAAACAACACACTTGATGTACCTGGTACGTTTGCGCGCTGTACTTGTTCAAATAGGCATGGAACGACTCCCATGAGTTAAACTGCGTGCGTTGGAGAGGGTGCGGTTCTTCAGATAGACCAGACTAGAGATTCACGTGGTTGCTGCTGTCACTGAGCGTGTCCACTTGGCTGGAGGTTCGAGACGATGCCGAGCGCGAGGCCTCGGACGGCTCAGTCCAGTCGTCTTCGTTACTGTCGTCGCTCTCGTCGCTCGCAGCAGCATGCTGCCGGCGCTTCTGAGCCGATCGCGGGCGTACGTCCATTTTCCCGCTCAGAGTTATGAATGGCTAGGGGGAATGGGGTACTCGATTCAAAGGGACACGATTCAAACGAGGGGTGTATGATTCAAACGGTATATGGCACAGGTACACGACGTATACTACGCTACGGATGAGGTAAAGTTTGTGGTAAGAAAGGCCAATCAAAATTCATGTCTCCAGATGGGTGCACGATTCACTCCCTTTTTAGTAAGACTCAGAGCGTTTTTTTCTGTAAGCTTCAATAAACTGTATGATTCTCAACGATGGCCAGCGTCGTTGCCCGAGGCGTTAGTAAATATATAATGAGTACAGCGACTGTTGCGCAGAGAACGCCTGCCTCACTCAGGGCGCAGTAGGCTCGTCCTCGAACGTCGCAGTTCTGAGACGTATTTGCAGTCAACAAGCCAAACTAAGCTTTTGGAACAGCACAGCAGCCATCGTCGCCGGACCAAAATAAACCATCGTATCACATTGCAGCTTCTCATAGATACCTACTAATAGGCTCGTTTCGTACTAGAAACGTAACAGGAAGACCGCTGCCGCATTTAGACGCAGAATCCAACGCACAAACCTAGCACGCGGCGTTGGCGTCACTCGTAAATGGCTGGTGAAATCTACATGGAGCGTACGCATTCCCTGGAAGACTACGTATGATGAAGCGCACCAAGGCGTCTCAGCGTCGCTCCAGGAACGACGTTGTACATGAAGTGGTCAAGTTTCTGTCTCAATGATTTGGACACCCGACAGAATTTAAAACGGCTTGTTTTCCGTTGTTTCTCTCTCTCACTCACGAGAATGCTCCTCTAATGTGTTTTGAATCTTATGTGGTGTTTGTAGAATACAAAGCCTTACCTCGAGATGGTACTTCTTCGTGCCCTATCGATGGCACAGATACGCGCATAGCCAACTTCAAGATGCTCCAAGGGTTCTTCCAACTAGAGTTTACTGGGAACGACGTGAGACTGGCAACGCACTTTCAGGATGGGGACTACTATGGTGTATGCCGTCATCCTCTGGATATATCGGCGACGCAACGTTTCGTTGTGGAAAATATGCCTTACTGTGCGATGAGAAGTTTATGGATTGCAGTTCTACTTGCTGACACTAATGCTCAATTCACAAAGAAATTGTATCACGACATTTATATCTCATGCAGGCAGCGCGACGGGCTGTGCTGTCTTTTCCAACTGTGTGGCGTGACTGTTCCACTGATACTTCTTACGCTTCAAGGCCCACTAGGACTACCACCCCCAATTACAATCACGGAGTCAGCAAATCCAGCTCACAGAAGGCAACACACAAGGTCAACAACAATTATAGCAGACACATAGCACTTTTCGGCGGGTGAAAGGGTCGGTACTATCTTAACAGCTCCACCCGCTCACTTTTACTGAACACTTTATTTGAAGCTGGCGAAGTTCCGGTGGGGACGTCTGAACGCAATGATGTCCACGAGTTTCCGTCCAGGTAAGAACAGATCGCAGTCAACGCGACTCAATATTAATAGCAGTATTGCTTTTGTCAGTGGTCCAAACATTCTCCAAAGCTTTGTGATTGCGCTCTTACATCGTTATTGAATTCGAGCGTCAAAACTAGCGTCGAAGTTGGCCCAAACAAGAGTGCTAAGACTGACGCGACTCCTCATCTGCAATCGCTATATATATGTACGCGAAAAACACAAAGTGATAAACTCGGCAAATTGCGTTGCCATCTTTGGATCATTTCGTTTTTCATTCAGAAGTCGTTCCATCTTTCTTTGGTGAAATTGTCTACTTCTGAAGTATAAGTGTACGAGAAATGGTTGCTCAACAACATCGCGTAACATTTTAAACGTGGGACAATATTCACTTTGTGGACAGTCACATAATCTTACTTGCCACACTACCGTGATTGATAAAACGTGCCATTTTGTGCTGCACTTGCAGTCATTTTCCTGCTTCAAACAAGGAAATTACATTGCAACACATCGCAGTCGTGAGGAGAAGATCATTTAAGTTAACTAAACCTATCAGTAGATCAAGAATGCTAGAGCAACCAAGTTCAAAATCTACGTAGACTTGACCAGTTGTTCTGTCGCCGCGAACCAAGCTCTACTCAGCTCCCAATGCAGCTGAAGCAGCAACACCGAGTCGATATGAGTACCAAACGTCCGTAACCCAAGTAACAGTGCAGGGAACTCGAGGACGACGAAGTGGTAGATGTAGCAGTAGGGGCAGAACCTCATGAGCGTATCCGGCGCTCGTCACGACAGCGACAAGCGTTCTTGCTGGCCCAAGACACGCAGCACACGCAATCCACTGCATGCACAGATCGACAAATGTTTGTTTCGAAGACATTTCTCCTTCCACGGGATCCGACATTTCATCTTCGAACGCTTCTCGACACGCGTCGTCATTCTCCAGCCAGATCTCCAGACAGCGCTGCACTTCAACAGGAAGCGTCAAGCGATCCAAACTCAGACCCGGACGCCACAGCTCTCGTGCGAGGAATCCGTAGGGGAACAACTGGCCACCGTGATCCAGTAAGAGGCCCACTTTTGCGTCGCGATCGTCCCTGAAACTGTCGCTATTAGAGCCTCTCCCGGGCGGAGATACTGTGGTGCCCGCGATGTACAGGCTTGTCATGCCACTTCCGTCGGCGAAGTTCAGCGGATTCGTCACATTGCGCTGTTCCATCTCCTTCAGATCGCCGAACACCCTTGAGAGGCACAACAGCAGTGTCTCGACTTCTCTAGCGGAACCGTAAGCGGCCGCATAATGTGCCGCCGTTTTCCCGTCCGTCGTAACAGTCGTCAGCGTATCGCCATCTTTATCCAAGTCGGACAACAGCTCCATCACGGATGGACTACGACACAAGATTGCTCGGTGCATCGCAGTTTCGCCCTTTTCGTTTCGCACAGTCACAGGTGCATACCCCTCGTCTACGATGAACAACACAACTGCTTCGACTTGTGCATCCACTGCCTGCAGTAGCAAGGAGCTAGCGAAGTGCTGTCGTTGTGGGGTGAACACGCACAGGTGATGGTTCAGAAGCAGTTGCAGTATGTTCAGGTCAGAGCGTTGTAGCATAAGCTGGATTGGAGTGATGCCTTTCGCGTCTGCCACGTCGACGCTCGCACCGCGACCCAACAGCAAGTTCGTCACCGCCAGTCCGCCTTCTTGGACGCAATAGTGTAATGGCGTCTTGCCATTCTGTCAGTAGCAGCACATCGAAGTCAGTACCTGTATGTTATCCGTTTACTGTTATGAACCTGGTTTCAAAAAAACTGACCTCATCCTGTGCGTCTACATTTCCATCGGCGTCTAGCAAAAGCTTGGCCACTGGGTACGACTCGTCGGTCGTGGAACAATGCAGAGCCGTCTTACCGTCCTGCGCAACGGTTCGTTATCAGGTGGGCAACCATCTTCAACCGGAGAAATCACATTTGCTCGGCTTATATCATACCTGACTTTGCGCGTCCATGTTAGCACCAAAACGTAGTAGCAGCTCCAAGACCGCGACCACCTTCTTCAGTTGTCCGTCCTCTTCTTCGTGGCACTATTAAAAAAACAGTATTCAGTTATGGGTAATGTGGTGAAAACCTTGTGATGGGACGCTACAGAGACTCCACTCACATCAACGACGAGGTTTCGCTGCACGACCTGACGGTCTCGAAAAACGCAACGCGTGGTCATGAGGCTGAGCCGTAAGATCGGTACCATCATGGCCGTCATGCCGCCTTCATCGCCCGTGTCGGGGTACCCAGACTCTACACCATTTCAGCCCACCGCAGGAGTTCGATACAACCACCCCGGAGCCGACGACCGGGCAAATCTCAGTTCAAAACACCCAATGCCTGAGTTCAATACACACAGGTGTCTCTTTTATTTTTTTTGCCAATTACTGCGAAAGTACCAGCTTTTGTCATTTCGAGACCATTCGAGAATTCAAAGGCATCCATCCATTCATCGCTTCGCCTCGCGCCCCTTTCATTTTGGCAGAATAGGTAACACTTACCCTGAAGACGTTCGTGCACGTGTCCTCGAGGCAGCGAAGGAGGGTGAGATCTGGCGATTGGTAGCAGCTCACAACGGCGTTGTGGTGGAGACTGCGCGGGCTCGGATGGAATGGTCTCGAAATCTCGAATGGTCTCGAAATGACAAAAGTTGGTACTTTCGCAGTACCGGTAATTGGCAAAAAAGAAAAAAGAGACACCTGTGTGTATTGACTCAGGCATTGGGTGTTTTGAACTGAGATTTGCCCGGTCCTATGTGCAAGTCGGCTCCGGGGTGGTTGTATCGAACTCCTGCGGTGGGGAGAACGAACCTGAAATGGTGTAGTTAGAACTCCATGACCGCCACGTCTCCTCTCCACGCGGCCGTGTGGAGTGCCGAGGCACCCAATGTTCGCAGGTGGAAGCCGTCCCAGTGGCAAATTCGAGATTGAAGCTGTGTCAACTCTGACAGATCGATAGGCTACAACGTGAAGATATCAGTGTGAGCGCTCTATAGTGAACTGGCACGTGGTCGATCCTCAGTAACGGGGAACGTTTTTACGTTGTACGCGCTAATTTGAGGATCTGACATGCCAACGCGCTGACAAAGATGAAAGCGGTACGGTACCCGTTGCAGATGGAGCCACTGAGGGAATTGCTTTGAGAGTCTACGCATAGTGTCCACATCACTCGTTGAGCAGGCAGTAAGCCATGCTGCGCGGACTTCTCGCATCTCCGGCGAAGGAGACAAGGGCATCTCGAGTTTATTTGCGACCATAGTTGTCGTGGTGCGCGTCTAGCGAATGTGATGGAACAATAAAGAACCCAGTCGGGTCTAGCTGTCTTGCTAAGCACAGTTTACTAGCTAGAAAAGTGCGCTCCGTTTTTTAGATTTTATTTTTTATCTCAAGCTCAAATTTCATAGTTAAAGCCAGTAATTGTCAAATTACGATGTAGGATGATCTTGATGTGCTTGCAGCTGCTTCTTGAGACATCGTAGTGCGATTCGCACCGACGCGATTTGAAAAGCAATGCCGTCCGATAGTGCGGCACGAAAATGTTCTTCTCACCTCGCATTCGCTAAGTACACGAAAAAAAAGCACGCTAGAAGAAGATACCGCTGACATGTAAGATATTCATGATGTCTGTAACGAGATTTTTAAATGTGTTAATTCACAATGATTGCATTGTAAGCAAGCCCTAATCTTTCTCCAAAGAACCACTTTAATGTTGTCACTATTATACAGTTTCCCAACAAACGTACAAAGCTGAGCTTTCATATTCTCAGGTGATGCTTCGCTTCCGAGAACCCATGCCCTTGGTTTGTACAGTAGTCTTGGGCCAAGACTACAAACCTTCGCTCATGTCCCTTCTGTTCACAAATCCTCGAAAAACTCGCTCACAAAAAGTATTGCTCACACCATTTTAAAAAATTGTTTTGCCAGCGACAACGAAGTGTCTAATGCCAAATATTTGGTTTAATATTTTGCGCTGAATGTTTTTACAGGATCCTAATCGATTATTTTGTTGCTGCGGGAGCACGGTGTATCGGCTTACCGACTTCAGCACCCCCCCCCCCGCAAGTACTGAACACCAGATAACCTGACGGAAAGTGCCGTTTGAGTCAAACTTTGATGCTAAGAACAAACATGATTTGCACCGTTTTACGAGGTACATCGCTTCAGTACGTCTTGCCCAAAAACCTGTAATTGTCTCGAGGTGTTACCATTCACGCTAAAACCTTGTGTATCCAGGCTCGGGTTTGCTTCATTTCAGGAGTGCGTCGAACAGGTCTGTATAAACGGAAAACGTCAGCGACGACGTCTTGTTCCCCAACGTCATACTATTACCGTAAGACAGAGCGTTCTCGACAGCAATATCGTGCAATACATGATGCTATCAGAAAATAATGTGTTGACAATACTACAATTGAAAAGGTTTCTACATGTAATTAAGTTTACTGCTTCTGGAAATTGTTTTTTGTCTGGAGCACACGGCTCATCTGCAATCAGCACATTGGATTCCAAGCTTGTATAATTCGCTAAAAACATCTTGCTTCTGCGATACTGCACGTGAGACGATATTCTGTATGTTGTAAGCAATTGGAAGCTGCAAATGGCCTATTTAAAATGGGTCGTTGTTTCGACTCCATGCGCGAATTTCCAGCTCCACTCAGTTGTCCCTCCTGCCGAGCTCAAATTCCTGGCGCTGGCTCTAAGCAGAAAGTCGGGTTAGGAAAATTCTACAGTGGGTTATATCTCGCTACCGATATGTTACTAGCGCTAACCCTTTAAAACTCTCCAACGAGAATGAATGAAATTCGAGATCTGCTAGATGTATTTTCTAGCCAAGAACTGAAGTTTTGCTATTAATAGAGAGATGTTTAAAGGTTTACTGTACGGTACTTTGAACATACATGTACAAAGACAAACCAAAGTATGGCAGATGTTTACCGCGCAGCACTGAGTCAACTCCCCATGAATAAGCGTAGCTTGCACTTCATATAGCCCTTTATATCGGATCGCAGGGATTAAAGAAAAATTCACAAATCACCAGATCGCTTTTTTACCTATGCAAAATT